TTTGATTTTGTCACATTATTTTTCTGTGTATTGTGATGGTTCTGGTTATTAGTGAAGTTTTATCCTTCATTATATTAATATGGATATTAAATGGATTGATTTCCATATGTTTAACCACTGTTGTATTCAACCACTGTTGTATTCTTGGGATAAATTCTACTTTGTCCTGATGAATAATCCTTTTAACATGCTGCTGGAGTATCTGCTACCATTTTATTGAGAATTTTTGCATCTTTATTCATAAGGCAGAATTCAGTTTATACTTTCCTTGTCTTGACCTCGTCTGCCTTTGGTTTCAATGTAATACTGGCCTTGTAGCAGTAGTTATGACATTATCTCCTATTGTCTATTTTTTTGGAAGTCTCAGAAGAATTGAGCTTAATCTTTCCTGTTAGAATTCATCAGTAAAGCCATTGGTTCTGGAATTTTCTTTGTGTACTGTGCTGATTCAATCTCTTTACTTGTTATATGTCTATTTGGATTTTCTATTTCTTCTTGAGGTAGCTTTAGGAGTTTATGTATTTCTAGGAAATTTTTCATTGCAACCTGATTATCTAATTTCTTGGCATACAAGTGTTCATAGTATCTTTTAATCCTTTTTACTTTCTTAATGTCTATAGTAATTCCTTTCCTTCATTTCTGATTTTAATACGTGAGTCTTCCCTCTTTTATTTTTTGGTCAGTCTAGATAAAAGGTTAACAATATTTTTTATTTTTTAAAATAACCAACTTTTGGTCTTTGTGATTTTCTCCATTTAAACAAATTCTTTATTGCTTTTCATTCTAATCTTTGTTATATCCTTCCTTATGCTTTCTTTGAGTTTAGTTTGTTGTTTTTCTAGTTTCTTAAGTTGAAAGCCTAGGTTATTGATTAGAGCTTTTTCTTATTTTTTAAATATCGGTGTTTAATTTCCCTTGTGATTTTTTTTTTTTGACTCATTGGTTTTAGGATTCTGTTGTTTAATTTCCACATACAATATTTGTGAATTTTCCAATTTCCTACTGTTAATTATTTCATATTTCATTCCATTGTGGTTGAAAAAAATACTTTGTATGATTTCAGTATTTTAACATTTATTTAGACTTGTTTTGTAGACTTACCTGTAGTCTATCCTAGAGAGTATTTCATGTCTACTTGAGAAGAATGTATATTTTGTTGTTTTGCGGGAGTAGTTCTATAGATGTTTGTTTCTCCTATTTGGTTTATAAAGTGTTGTTCAAGTCTTGTATTTTCTTGCTGATCTTTTCTCGTGGTGTTCAGTTCATTATTGAAAAGTGTCAGTAGCAGTAGCAAATGTGGACTAGTAGCATCAGTAATAATACTTAATTTTTTAGTCTTTATTAACAAAATCATTACATATAGATTACTCAATATTCTGTGCTACCAGAATAATGATAACTTTCATATTTTTGTCAACTTTTCATAAGTGCATAGCACAATCTGATATGTAGTAATTATTTAAATTTAATCTTTACTGAGAAAATTTGGTAAAAAATAATGACATCTTGGAAAATTTTAGGTTAATAGTAAATGTAAATTTCATGTCACTTGAAGTATCTACATTTTCTTCCTTGAATTATGGTGAATATTACTGAGTATCTTTACAGCAAAAATTTGTTTTAATTTTATCAAGTGAATATAACAGTCAAAATTTTAGTTATAATTAAAATGACTTTAGAAATCTATTATGTCAATCATAAAAATTTTAGCATAATCCAACTAACATTTGTCTGTAGCTGGTATGTTCTACATTACTATGCACAGCACTAAAATGCTATTCTTTCAAGGCAAAAGATACAGCCATGGTAAAGTATCTACTTTCAATTGTAATAAAAGATAATGTCATTGAACATTTTGATCAATAAAAAGATTCAAAGGAAAGACTTCTTACATTAATTCATTATATTCCACATGCTCCTTTTAATAGCACATAATACTTTTTAATGATTCTTGTCATTGTTTAGAGTATAAATATTAGGTGATCACACTTCATAATTGAAATATGATGCATATTCATCTTTAATATGTAATTAATTAGGCCAAAGAAGAATATCCCCAGTTTCACTTTATAGATCTAGGTTAATGTGCTTTGCTTTACACTCACTATAATTTAAAAAGCTTTTTTAACTTTTTGGCTAGTTTTGCTCATTCTAAAGAGGTTAGGTAGTAATAGGTATTGTCAAAGAAAAAAAAAAGAAAAGTAATAGATCAGATAAGTTTGAGAAATGCTGGTTTTATTAAAGTTTAACAGATTTCTTTACTTCTGGGTTTGTCAGAGTTTTTTTGTTTTTGTTTTGAATTCAAATCACATTTTTTTTTATTTCAGCATATTATGGGTATACAAGGTTTTAATACGTGAATATACGTTAATTTCCACAATTTCTTTGATCATGGTAGCCTATTTTATATAACCTTTTCTGTTTTATAAAGTACCCTCTGGGTAACACTAGTGTATATCACTGGCCCTCAAGGTGGAATGTATGCATCCCAAGAATTGCATAAGATGATCCACTATGATATAAACATAAAATGTCTGAATTTCTATTTCTATGTACTTTTAAGAGTCTTGAATAACAGTAAAAAAATGCTATGCTAATATTTAGCATATGGATTGGTACTTTTGTCCTCCCTGGACTCTTACATGAAATAGTCACCATACCGTTTGTGAAACAGCCTGACATGAATGGGTGTTCCAGAAAGTGATAAGTTCATAGTGATGATTTGCTTGCTTGTTTATAGTACAGTATAATGCCTGAATTTTCTTAATTAGGTAATTGGATTTAGCTAATATGTTATCTAGCTTTAACTAAAACATCTTACAAAAATACAAATATGTATTTAAAAATATGGCTGCCATGAACCATAGATTGATAATCATACTAACAAAAAATCTGTGTATGTATCATCTGCCCCTGTTGGTTCTTTATGATTAGGCAGTTTTGGGAAATAGTGATGTAGCTGTGGTAAGACAAGATAAAGGTCTGTACCAGAAAGAGGAATTGGATGTTAATAATTAAATAAAACCTGTTGAATCAGTAAGGTATAATAAATGGAGTTGACCCAAGAGCAAATGGTAGCAGTAAAGAGACAGGAATTATTAGCATTACTTTTTACCCTCAATATAGCTGAAGTTTAATTTTCTCTCAGATTTCAAGTGATGGTGCAGTCATTCCTTACAGTCATTCAGAATCCTAGGCTAGCAAGGGTGGCACAAGTTGCAGCACGTGGCTTCTGTTGTCATTTTAGGTGTTGACACGCAGCAAGCAAATGGCAGAAGAAAGGGAGCGTGTGGAGGATTTTGTAGGTTTTTGTGGTTCATCACTCTGACCAACCTATCATTCCTGTAATAAATCCCATTTGGTTGATTGTATTCTTTATATGTTGCTAGATTTTAATTGGCTAATATTCTGTTTAGGATTTTAGTTTCTATATTCGTAAAAGTCGTTTATTCATAATTTTATTTTCTTCTAAATAACTTTGCAGATTTTAGTATAAGAGATATATTGACCTAATTAAATATGCTGGCAAGTGTTCCTCTTTCCTATTCTCTGTAAGAGTTCGTGGAAGATTTCTGTTACTTCTTTATTTAATGTTTGTTAAAATTTACTGGTTAAGCCATCTGGGCTTAGAGATTCCTTGGTCAGAAGTTTTAGTGTGTGTGTGTGTGTGTGTATGTGTGTGTGTGTGTGTTTGTTTTTTTAGTTAGTGCACAGTCAGTTTCTTTAACATATATAGGACTATTCAGATTTTATAATTCTTGTTTCATTTTTGGTAAATTGTGGGAGTTTTTTTGGTAGTTTTAAAATTTTATCTGAAATTTCATATTTATTGCTATAATATTGTGTAATATCATCTGGCTTTTTAAAAATATTTGTAGCTTATATAATATTCTGCATTTAAGCCTGATGTTATTTGTATTTTCATTTTCACTGTATTTTTTATAATCTTACTACTTGTTTCAGGGTTTTCCTCCTGTTTATTTATTTATTTATGCTTTCTTATAGATTATCTTTTAGAGTCTTTTGTTACATGTCAATTTGATCTTTTTATTCTGTCCTGTGTGTCTTTTTAAACTTTTTTGTTTTGGGTATTTTTCATCATATTTTTCTCTTTTTGCTGTAGTCTGTACTTTTTCCACTATCTTTTGCTTTCTCTAATCCTGTTTTCTGCTGTCTTTTATCTGTTCACCTCATCTATTGAGTTATAACTAAAACATATTTTCGGATCCAAAATTTCTATTTCAGAGATTCCAGTTCTCTGATGAAACCATCTAATCCGTTTTCTCCATTTCCCTTCTATTTTATTGACATATTAAAAACTTTTATGTACATATTTAAAACTCTTTGATAACTGATATCAGAATCACTCATGGGCCTATTTCTTTTATCTTCTGTTTTCTGCAAAGAGAGAGAGTATGTGTGTGTGTATGTGTGTGTATATGTGTTTGGTCAGTCTTGTCTTTTGTTACCTCAGATAATTTTGTATTGAAAGCTGGACATTATATTTGAAAAACTGAAAAGACTTTGTAGGATGTTAACATCCTCCAAAGATAGTTCATCTTTTCCTTTCCTAGGCAGGGAGAGTTATAGACTAATCACCTTAATTCAGTGGTTCTCAAACTTTGGAATATATTAGAAACACCTGGCAAGGTTAATTAATACAAACTATAAAGGCTTGTTGCAGTAACAATTGTCTCTTGGTCCTGGTCAAGAATTGCCACATGCCCCAAGAGAAAGCACCATGGAGTACCTGTGTTATTTTACCTCTGAGCATGGTTTTCCTATTTCAGTTCCTGTTTCCCTTTAATTCCTCATTGCCTCAGTCTCCCAATGCTTTAAACAGAATTTTTTTTTTTAATACGTTTTCTCTTTGTTTTCAGCTGCAGTGTTGGTGTGTCACAATCCACTTAATCATTCATGGAAGCAAAAGTCAATGGTTTTATTCTTTTGAAAACAAAACAAAATAACAAATCATAGTTTTAGTTTCCTTTTTCTTTCAGGAAAAACATAAACAAGAATTGGAAGACATGAGGAAAGCTGGTCATGAAGCCCTCAGCATTATTGTGGATGAATATAAGGTAGAGGTTTGAGAGTCTATTGTTTATTCTTTTAAACTTTGGATAAATTTAGTAAAAATTTTACACACATAGATATGTGCAACAAACATATACAAATTATAGATTTATAGCACAATCTTAATTTGGTTTATAATTCCTTTCCATTGGCTAATAAATATTCATTGAAATTGTACTCGGTGGATTACAAAAGTAATGCTAGACATTGCTCTCTGCATCTGAGAAACTTTTAGAATATTTGATGATATAATATCAGCAGGTAAAGAAGTTTGAATACAAAATACTATAGAATTCATTGCTAGATTATCATTTTTGTCTCTGCTCTGATCCCTCTGTCTTATGGGAAAAAAAATGAAGGCATGATATAAATTTGAAAAAATACTATTATGCCTTTTTTCTTTTTTAAAATAAATTAAATAGTTTTGGGTACATTGAAGTAATAATAGAAATTATGATAAATCTCAGTATCAATGATGTACAGTAAAATTGATGTAATTTAAAATTATTTTAAAAACTATTCTTTTTTCCATGCCTACATAAACTTAACCATTTAAAACAAATTGAGGGTTTAATGTCAAAGTCTTTTCTTTTCCCCCTCTGAATTTCATGTTAGATATTTTTCTTTCACAAGTAATGGAGGAATACATTCTTACTGAAACAAAATTCTAACAATTTGCCCCAGAGGGAACCACTATTGCCAATTTGATGTTAATTCTTCTA